TGAAATGAAGATTGGGGGGTGCGCAATAGGTTGGGAGAGGACACAACCAGGCAGATGACCTGAACTAACCAGAGAGATATTCCACACCATATAACGTCATGCTCGGCGATTAAAAAGGGAAGAGAGAAGGGTTTAGGGAGGTTAGCCCTCTTTTTCTTGGGAATTGACTGGGCATCAGTCTGCCTGTGGGAGGTGGAGAGTGTTTGCCTTTGCCTCACTTGTTTTCTTTCCTTTCTCTCATCTTCCACTTATCCTTCACTTATTAAACTTTTTTTTTTTTTAATCTCAACCCCCAAGTTTTCTTGCTTTTACTCTTCCCCTGTCACACGAGGGGTCGGGGGGTGAGTGAGCAAGCAGCTCATGGTGCTTAGCTGCCTACTGGGGTTAACCCACAAAAATAAAATAATCGACAAAATTAGTGACGTCCAACTTTTCTGTTGTGTTGTCTGGTGATGTGTGAGTAGGTATTGAGGGTTTATGCACATTTGTGACATGACTAAGCCTGTATTTGTGTTACAACCAGATGTATGCTGTCCCATTTCTCCATGGCCAGATACAGATGTACATTGTATGGCATGACCAACACCTCTGAGTGATGGAAAGAATGTGGGAGTGGGCTGGGTGCCAGACGAACTACTTACCCAGGCAGTATCCAGCTCAGCCTGTAGTTTGCCTATAGGTCAATCAGCTATATAAGAATAATTTTGTGTAACGCTATACATTGATTATATGTTGTCAACATAAATGTTTCAACATACACCCCAAAATAAACACAAAAGTCTACCAAAACATGGCCATCTACTGCACGTGCTTCTCTCCTTGGGGAGAGGTGTATTAAAAGCATGTGACAGATGTTAGGCACATTGTTTAATACACTGCTGGAAGATGTTTCATTTATATGGCAATAAACACAGTGTAAGAAGCCCTACAGAATACTGGCATCATCTCATAACAGATAGATATTTATATCAAGATATTGACCTTTTTTCTAGAATGGGAATATACTAGATACACGTGATAGTATTTTTAGGTGCCATCTCTCTGATACTTGTTACTTTTACTACATTCATAGTAAGGCACCATTTGTATTACCGAATATTCTTAACGTCCTCTCACTGAGCACGAAATGCTGTATTACATCAAAAATATAAAACCTCTTAGCAGTAGGTTTTCATACAGAAATTTTATGGGTAAAATAGAAATCAAAATGTATGGGCTATAAGTTAGAAGTCATTGCAAGCAATTTTCCCTATTGACTTTAGGGGCTTTTGACTCTTAAACACTGCATCACTGTCACACACACAAAAAATGCTATGAACACTGAAGTGTACTGCAGAACTAGTGTCATCTACTTGTTATAGCAAACTGAATATCTCTTACAGGGGCTTAAAGATTACTGTACATATGAGGCAAAGCTCTTTCTTGCACACCACTGGAATATAGTACAAAGATGACTTAAAGAATGTGGTTATTAACAAGGATGTTTATCAATGATAACAAAATATTTATTTTCTAGCAGTGGTATGAAAAAATCTGCCGAAATGAAGGCAAGAAGCCTGAAAGATAGGAATCCTGATTTGTTAGGATTCCTAAGCATCTGTTAGTTCTACTTACACAACATACACCCCTGTATTACCTTAGGGAAGCTAGGGCATATGCTTCCACACCGTATTTATTTTCTCTAACCTTATTATTTGCAAAATAAATATGAGACCTTCACTCAAGTCTGGCTTTCTTCTTTCAGAAAGAACTCTTCTGGAACACTGATATTGGACCATACTGCACCTTAGATGGTTTGCTTTTACCAGTTGTTAAAACAACACATCTTTTCTATGTTTATTTTTAAAGAACATAAAAATATAAATGGAGAAGGGTTTAATAAAGAACAAATAGGGAACAGTATTTTTACAGAAAACCAAATGGCCAAGCAGATATCTAACCTACTTTGAGACTAACATTATGCAAATACAGTACATAGCTCTCCCTTGTATCCAAGGGCTATCTTTTGCAGAGCTACAGGGCTAGCTATTGCTTTACTTTCCATATACTTTTTGAATACTACTCACCACAAAGGAAGATAAAAGGTCATTTAAAATTTAAATAGCTAGGCATTTTACAAGGGACCTTGTCATGCCTTTATAAAGTGCTGACAAACCACACTAGATGAGACATTTTAAAAAACAGCATATCTGTCTAATAGCATCCTACCACCTTCTTGATATACATGTCCCTCTATTCTGCTTTTACTGAATTAGCAATCTGAATTCTGGAGAATTTCAGGTAATCGCATGCAGAACTTTCTCTGCCAGGGCTGCGTATAATTAAACATCCAAATGTTACAGTAAAGACTGATTGCACAACCTTTACGGTAAAAAGATGACTGTGATCATCTAGTCTGAGTTGCGTTAAAAAACCCCACAAATGATAGGACTTACTTGTATTAATTCCCATCTGAAGTTCAACAGATTACTTTGACTAAATCATCTTTCTTAATTTTCAAGATTACCAGCACCGAGGAATCTACCACAATTATTAGTAGTTCCAATTAGTAAAAAAAAAAAAAAAAAAAATCCTTAATTGTAGTCTGAATTAGTCTGGTTTTTATTACCTCATTTGCTAAGCTACAGTCATTTGATTTTCTTTTAATCTGCAAGACTGAACAATCTGGTTTTGAATATCAGTTACTTTATCTCAAATGTTTCCATTTAGTTTACCAAAGATAATATTAAGGTATGGTTTGATTACTGGCTGGAAGTGCCACCTTAGCTTTACTTTTACTAAGCTGTGCCTCCAGTCTTTCATAATAAAGCACGTGTCCCAAGCCCTGTATCATTCTTTTATGTCTTCTATATACCCTTTTCAATTCTTCTGCATCCTCCTTGAAGTGCAATTGCCAGAACCAAGATCCGTATTTGAGTAGCGATCACAGCATTAACAACCACAGAAGCAATGTAATTCGACAACTGCTTGATATTCCCCTTGCCCATTCATCCAAGACTACCTTCATTCTTTTGTCTCCCCTTGACACTGGCAGCTGATTATACCATGACCCTTCAAAACTCTTTTAGAAGTCTGTGCTTTGTGTGGGAGGAATAAGGCACTCTGTAAATAGAACCTACAAACAGTTTCTACATAGTGATTTCTCTTTTGCTATTTATCCTATTCTTCTATTTTATTATCTCAGATCTTCAAGAGATCTGGAATATGCCCATGGAAGCGTATGAGTTCTATTTGAACTCATCTAATGTCAGGGAGCTTTATTACATTTATATGGAATATATCGATTTTAGAATTACTCCCATGGGTTTTTTCCTGCTGTTTCCCTCATGAACACCTAAACACTGCATACTTATTGCTGCAGTTTCAAGCAAGGAAAGAGTTAGTAGGCTATGAATGCCTAGCCCCCCATATTCATTCTTTGGCTTCCATCTCCTTTGTGGTGCTTTTCTGATTCACAGTTAAGCTGTACTCTAGTCTAACATTTGAATCAAATGTCTATTGTAGGAAAATCATCATTATATTACCTTAAGAATATTGCCAGATTATATCTCCATTTAATTTCTGCTGATGCACTGGTCCTTATTCAAGGTTTTGTGTCAGCTAGTTAAACTACTTTTGTAATGAGTTTCTCCTCTCTCTGCTCCCTGTCCTTTCTTCTGGTCGCCCTGAACATAGAACTAACGAACTTCTAGCTGCAGCATTTTATACCAGCTGAAGTCGGTACTTAGCAACAGTGAGATCATAACTTGAATTTCAGTGCAGTGGGCACTAAATGGGTGTTTTTACATAACAGCACCTAGGATATGGGCCTAGAAAACATACATGGCGACCTTCCAGTCTTCTGTCTTGCACTTACAAAGAGAAAGCTTTTGAAATTGTACCAGTAAGTCCATCTACATAAGACTAAAAATAATCAAGCCATTTCTCTAGGATTAGGTGACTGATTCCAGCCAGTCAACTTGTAATGCAAGTATACCTGGCTTTAGCCTGACAAGCTTTTACACAGCCAAATTCTGGAAATAATTACTCGTCAAAAAAAAATGCAAATTTAATGCTACAGAAGTGAAAAAAGAGCAATTAAGGTTTTCTAAATTTAAATACGCTTTCTTGGGTTTTAAACATAATCTGATTTCAAGGGAAAGACCTTTTTTTTCTTGCTTTGTGCAAATTCACAGGTCTAAATTCAGAATATCCACAATAAGTATAAAGGATTCAAATTGTGACCCCT